TATAAAATGAACCTGTAAGGTGATAGTTATTACTCACTTATATACTATTTAATTATTTTATCTCTAATTAATGTGGGACTTAAGTTTTTTTTAATAAATAATTATCGCTAATAGTAAACTTTAGTGTAATATAAATACGCTTTTAGTGGCTATTATATATTAGTCATTAATATTTTTATATATGGAGGTAATTAAATTATTGTCATTAAATAATTGTTGTTAATAATAAATTTTATTGTAGTGATATTTAACTTGCTTATTTTCCATACTTATGAGAATGATAGGAAGAGAGGCGAGAAAATATTTCCTGAATTTATAATTAGCATTTAAAAGAGTTTTAGATTAATTTTTAAAAGATAAAAGATATCAAATTAGTTCGTAATAATTTTTAATTATTACACGATATCAAGAGCCCAACGATAAGACAAAGATTTAATATATATCATTATGTGCAGGAGTTTGTCCTCCACACTACCCTTGTACACTTTTACTCTAAATAAACTAAGTTAATATATTTAATCAGTGTCATTTTGAATTTTTTCATTCTTAAAAAAATCTGAATAAAATAAATTAAAACTCATAATTTTATGAACCTTTAGTAGGTATGTCCCTAGCTCTTTTAATTTCTTATTTTATGAAACTTTAAATATCTTTTAAAGAATACAAATATACAACCTTACCTATTAAGATGCAACGTTCAAATAAAATGATGAATATATGTTTAACTATATATACACAATTATCTCCATTAATTAAAGATTTTTTAGAAAATATTCAAAAATAAAACTGTGAGAACTTAAGTGCAAAGTGAATTATATCTTACTATTGTAAAGACATGTGGTCATTTTCGAAGCACAATACTATCTAAATTTTTACATGAGTTAAAAACACTTTTTTCATACCATTTAACATAATGTATATTTAAAATTTAAACTCAAATCCTTGGATTAAACCAAAATAATCATATGTGAGTTAATTTATGATTACTTCTTTCTTTCTTTAAATCTTAAAATTTAATTAATAACACATTAATATTAAAAAAAACTTATAATTAATTATTAAACTTAAAAGGTTATATAAGTTATTAAATAATTGTAATTTTAAAGTAACTTTTGAATTTCACTAAAAGACTACCAAAATCTACTAAGGTGACGAGGGATTGAAAAAGTATGGTCACGGGAGAGTATCAGTGGGACATGTAGCCAAAAAGAAAAAGGGGTCTCAAGGCAACCTACTACCGTGGCTAGTAGTAGTATGTGTACAAATCGAACACTGCCTTTCAATTGTCAAAATCCTCAAATTAGCTAAGCAACTAATTAATTAAAGATTTCTTTCAACATTGGAGTGTAGGACAATTAGATATGACCACCCATTGTTTTCTATCCGCTAATTAGTTGCTAGCAGTTACATTGTCAATTAATAAAAACATCTTCAAACGATTGATCTTGAGCAAAGGACACATTTGTGTATATCGATATCATCTCTCGTGGGACAAGAATACAAACATACATATATAGAAGACAAACCAGCGAGATTTTGATTGATGCAAGTTAATCTCTGATTGATTATGCCCAATATGAAGGATTATTCAGTGGATGATTCATTGAATTTACCACCTAGCTACGGTAATACATATATAGACTTTCCAACATATACTTAATTAATTGTTGTAACCTATACTTTGGTACGTGATTGTACTTCAAGACAGATTTAGACCTGTTCACTAACAAACACGGAGAAAGTTTATTACGAATAAGAATTGAACAAAGAGTCTTGAAATTTCGGTTAAAGATGGCGAATCATGCATGACGGAGAATGGTGTTAACCACTTTAAACTACGCCTTAGAACAATCACATAACTCTCAGATTTGTAAATTACCGCTTTATGTGTCATGCAAAATTATAAATTCTAGGGCAATGTAACAACAAAAACTTGAATTAATTGGTATATGATTGTTTTGGTTTAATTAGTGATTTTGAATTTTAATTTTAAATATATAATTATATTGAATGTTCGGAGGAAGAGATTTGTCACTTATAATCTTATTTGACTCAAACATATATTATTGCTTTCAATGTAAGATACCTACAACGCTAATCGAATGCGACTTTGAAAGCGATGATTATTATCTAGTGTGGTTAATTCGTTATACTGCTATTCACTTAATTGTTGAGCTCATCATCTTTGCAAGAAAAAACTCTATGAGGGTTAATTCTTCGAGTAATTATCGTAGCTCAACTGGGTAAAACCTAAGTCTAGATCCGTACCTTTCTTCAAAGATATTATCATATATAGACAACATATACATCCCTTGTAAATAAGTGATATAGTGAAAGAATGATAGTGACTGCAACGAAAGCAAGTGAAAACATTTGTCGTCTAAGAAAGAAGTGATGAAAGCATGTTGTCGATGAGTACTATTAAGCTCCAAAGAGCTGTGCACTTATCAGTTCTGCTTTGCTCCAAAATGGCCAGTACTGCTTAATTGGCAGCAGTGGCATGGCCTCACTTTTATACGATTAATTCTTCAATAGTTTTCTATTTGAACGTGAGCATTTGTCTAACATAGATCTGCTCATAATATATATCGTTTTTGGATAACATTTGTCTAACGCAAGTTTTAATTAAGAGGATATATTTCTTCTTTATTTAATTTTAAATATGTCCAGCAGAAAGAGTTAGTCCGTCGCAAATCAAGATTCGACATTCAATTAAAAGAAATGTCCTTATTTAATATCTTACTGTATTTCAAAAAATAATATTACTGCAAATACAAAATACAAAATATATATAGGTATAAATTTGTTTGATATATATTTATACATAATTTAGTGCTAATTTTGAATGAAATTCAATAATATATATTATGTGTCATTATAGTTAATATATATACTTTTTAACAATATATACTAATATATATTGTAAACTAAATTATACTTTTAGTCATTTATTTTATTTTTAATATTTATTTTGGTCCTTTTATCTTTAAAATTATTCATTTTGGTTACTTAACTCTTAAATTTGGGTCAATTTAATTATTTTATAATAATTATTATTTTCAATTTTGATATAAAGAATTTGAATTATTTTTTTTATTGATTCAAAATTTGAAACTTGTCTCGCTATATTCACTTATATTAAAAATATTGATTATAATTGAAATTCAAATAAAAAAGTATTATAAACATGTTGTAATTCACATAAAAATAAGTTCAAAAACAAAACAAAAATTAAAATTTTTATTTTGTATTATTTTTAAGTTGCTCAAGAGATATATTTTTCATGTGATTTTTATTATGTTTATAACTTTTTTGAATTTGAACTTCAATTGAATTTTATTATTTTTTATACAGATGATTTTAATGTTAAGTTTCACGTCTTGAATAAATAAATAAAAATTGATTCAAAATTATTTTACAAAATTAAAAATAATTATTATTTAAAAAGATCAAATTGATCCAAATATAGAAGATAAAAAATCAAAATAAACATTTTATTAGATAAAAGACTATACTAAATTTAACAAACAAGATAAATAACCAAAATTATAATTTAACTTATACTGTATGTATGATGTAGATAAAAGTAACTTTTAGTAAATATTGTATCGCTATAAAATATTTTACTGCATGACAATTTTTTTTTAGTAAATGTTATTATCTTCAAAGAAACATATATGTGGAAAAAAAATTGCCTTTTTAGGTAATTTTCATTAGGAATATTTAAAAGACAATTTCTTATTAACCTGAAATATATATATATATATATATATTAAAGATCTATTTACTTCAAGATTAATTCTACTTAAACTTATTTCACTTCACTTAATAACTCATATTTTATATCAAATTTTAATAATCCGATAATTAAATTAAAATTTTTTAATGCATATATCTAGTTTAGAAATTTTTAAAGTATTTTAAAATTATTTCTTACTTTCATTAATTTAAATCAACATATAAATTGCTTGAATGATTATCTGTTACTTTAAATTAATAAAACGAAGTACTAAATAGTTTTTATACTTTTTAAAACTTTACAAACTTGATTTATACATTAAATTTTTTTAATTTAATAGTTGAATCGTTAAAAATTGATGTAAAACATAAATTATTGAGTGAATTAGACTTACTCGAATAAGTATATATATGTGTGTGTGTCAGTGTGTGTGTGAGAGAGAGAGAAAAAAACTGAATCAAGCTAAAATAATTCAAAATGTTATTTAAATTCGTTTTTAAAGAAATGCCCGAGTCTAATTTAAATAAAAAATAAGCTAGTAAAGTTTAACTTTAAAGCTTAAAGGAGTTGGATGAGATGAAAGAATCGTGGTAGTTTTTATACTCAGGCACGAGCAGCTCACTAATAAAACAATCATGATGAGTGATCAAACCATATAGTGTTAAAACAGCGTTTTAAGCAATTGTAATGTCCTAGTTTCATGTATGCACATTTTTTCCACAAATACAAAAGCAGTCATCATCAATACCAACAATTAAGCCTGAATTCTTCTCTTTTAATTATTGACTGTGTGTATGAATCTCAACCAACATGGCACACATATATATATTGTTATTGTTGTTGGTTTACATGGCACATCCTATTATAAAACACCATATAACATTCTGTCAAGGTCCTCGCTATAATATGTTCGTCATTTCCAATACTTTTTCTCCGTTTAGGTATTGACCTAATGCGTCTATATATGTTTTCATCTTCTTATTTGAAATCATTTGTTTAAGGTCAATGTGTGAGAAAATGTGGGCACATGTAGGTCAAATTCCATTATATGTTAGAATGAGAATATAAAAGGATCAACTCATTCTCTTCACATTGTACCAATTACCAAGTAGTAGTTTCAGCTCAGAGTTTATTCATACTGTTCTAGGATTCTTTTCTACTAAATTGGCGATTCCTGTTTTGCATGTCATTTTCTATCCCCACCAATTAGTCTCCCTTTTTCTCTCACCAAAAAGAAACAAACAAAGGCCAACACAGGGAGAAAGAGAAAAAGTAAGGGTAAAAAAGGAGCAAAAAATAAATAAAGGATGAGAAAAAACTCCCTCAAAGGCAAAAGAAAGATTGATTTCATTAATCAATAAGTGCAGGCTTTATCATAAAGTCCTTTCTGAGAAGAGAATTTCACAAGTCCAGGGACTCTCTCTAAAGAACATGAGTTTTAGGGAGTGCAATGTAGAAAACAAGAATCTATGCCTTCAAACCCCTACTAATTTCATAGAGTGGCTCAAACCATCAAATTCAATATCACCATCATCTCCTTCTTCCTTGACTCAGCATGAAACGATCCAGTTTTTGCCCTTCAAGGAAGAGCATGGAGTGCAAAAGGAGGGTTTTGAAGTAAAAGGAGAGAAGGTGGAACAGGTAACTGTGGCTTTGCACATTGGATTGCCTAACACAGGAGGCCATGATGAGGATGATGAGAAGAAGGGTTTTCAAGTTAAGGAAGAAGAACCCTTGAAGAAAAGCTTCCAGGGATGTTCTTTTAATCAAGAGAGAAGATTTTGGATACCAACTCCTTCACAGATCCTTGTTGGACCCATGCAGTTTGCTTGCTCCATATGCAGCAAGACCTTCAATAGATATAACAATATGCAGGTCAGTGATTGGTTCTCAACTTCTAGTGCAAAACACAAACAAAAAAGAAAATCTATTAATTATTAACTGTTTACTCATAAATTAACTTGTTTTTTTTAAAAAAAAACTTATTTTTAACTATGAACTATATATTCCGAGATGAACCTTTTAAAATAAAGACTGGGGGGGGGGGGAA